CCGAGCCCCGGGCAACGTCCCAGCTGGAGCCCGACCGCCGCTCCCTGCCCCGGACGCCATCCGCCTGTGAGTGTCCTGCCCTGGACACGGGGTGGGGAGCTGGAAGAGGCATCGGGGTTCCACTGCAGCAGGAGGGATGGAGGGCAGACTCGAGAGTGAACGTCGTCCCACCCACCCACGGGCCGCTGCCTCCCCACCGCCCACAGCCTCGCTCTACACCAGCAGCGCCCAGCGCCCACGCTCCAACTCCTCTGGGGAGCGCCCGGGCGCCGGGGGCCACAGGAGAGTCCGCGCCCTGGTCTCCCACGCGGAGGGTGCCAACCACACGCTGCTGCGCTTCTCGGCCGGAGATGTCGTCGAAGTGCTCGTGCCAGAAGCCCAGAATGGCTGGCTCTACGGCAAGCTGGAGGGCTCGTCCGTGTGAGTGGGGCGCTGGGGTGGAAGGAAGACCACTCCCCGCAGCCAGACCTCCCCGCGCAGCCGTTTCACCCGCTCAGTGGGGTCGAAGAGGCGGTCTCCCCCTACCCCACCCCCGGGGTCATAGGAAGAGGACTGTGTGTAGTTCTTTGCAGCAGTCCTACTGCTTGCAGTACCTATGCTGAGCCTGGCACTGGGCGGGGGCGGGGGGTGGGGGTGGGGAGCCCCCCTCTGTACCCAGAGCTGACATAGGGCCTCAGGGATGGAATGGGAGGTCAGGAGGTTGGAGGTGACTGCCAGGAACTGACTGGAGGCTCCTAGGACGTGGGGCAGATTGAAATGCACTTGCTCCTTGCCTTGTGTTGGGGTGGGGGGCTGCTGAGCCCCCCCCCAGCTCGGGCTACCTCCTGTGGAGGGAGAGGTGTGCAGCACATCAAAAGCCACCCGCAGGTCTGAAGAGCAGGGGCCAGGGGACAGCCCACTCAAAGATTGAACAGGGGGTAGGCTCTTTGTACAGGAGGGGGTGGAGCTGGAGAGGGGGGGATCTGTGGAGGGGAAGTCAGGGCACACCGGTGGCATGGCGGCTGCACCGGTGGATCCATGGATGGCTGGGTGGTCTAGCTGGTTAGTGGACTGATGGATGAGGGGTGGTTGTGTGAGTGGGTGTAAGCCTGCTTGAGAGGGTAGGCAGATGGGTGGGTGATTGGGGGGTGGACTGGGTCATTGGAGGCATGGGACACAGATGCATAGATGTGCAAGCAAAGGCTAGTGGGTGGGCACCTGGGTGGGCTAGCGGGTACACAGGGGATGGCCCGGTGGTCCATGGTGGTCTCTACATGGATGATGGAGGGGGCGCTCATGGGAAAGATGACGGTGGCTCGTGGATTGTGACAGGAAGGTCGGTTGGTGGTAGATAAATGACAGGGCGTGGATGCCTGCCTGGCCTGGGGGGTCTCCTGTTGTGCAGACCCACGGGCAGAGGCAGCATGGGCCACCTGCAAGCCCCCATGACCCATGTGCAGCAGGCTTCCTGGGGCTCCTCCACCATGCGACCTTCTAGACCAGTTCCCGGGACAGCATGGTTCCTTCTGTCCACCAGGGGCTGAGAAAAGGATGTGGTTTTATCATCTGAATGCACCCTCTGAGGGGACACAAGGAGTCTAGTTCATTCTGTCCCCGTTGAAAGCACTTCAGTGACCTTTGGGAGAGGGCGTGGTGGATTGGGTTTGGGGATGGGGGGAGGGCCGGTTCTAAGCCCTGGTGGCTTAGTGGGTTATGAGTTCAGCTGTCAACCACAAGAGCAGCAGGTCAAAGCCAGGCAGCCCTGGGGAGAAAGATGAGGCTTTCTATTACTGTAAAGCTTGACAGTCTCAGAAACTCGAAGGGGCAGTTCTGCCCTGTCCCCTTGGGTCACTGTGAGTAGGAACTGACTGGACAGCCGTGGGTTTTTAAGGGGAGATCATTTGGGGAATACTCATCATAGCGCCATCCCT